AATGAGGCTTAGATGTGTGCAACTTGCTACCCAAAGACTTTTGTATATATCAGAAATTCTGGATCCAGAGATATATTTGATGTCATGCAAATCAGCTTTTTACCTTTTTTCGTTTTAAGATCCAAACATATTCTCACTAAACCATAGTTAGATGCCCGTGTTTCTTTCAAAGGAATGTTGTTCTGCTCTTCCTAAGGAAAACTAATTCCTAATAGCAAAACTCTATATAAGTTTATATAATTTTATAATCACGTGTAGATGTCAAACCTCATCACTGTTTTTGACAAATTAAAAAATTAACATATCCATTCAAATAATACCCATGCTTCTCCTTGATCCTTTTACCATTCTATTTGTATATCAGCATCCATACTTTGATTTCCAAGTGTAGCCTGGTAAGAATTTCACAGGAAAGCATTGCAAAAAATGTATGAAATCACTGGGGTTTTTTATTGGCTGTGATTCCATTTTAAAAGAACATCATACCCACATCATTACCCACATCATGCAGGAAAAAGTAGCAGGCAAATAACAAATGAAATACACGTTCACAAAGTCTTTACTTTAAATCATCTCCTAGCTGCTTGGAGAGAACTGCATGCATCTGAAAGAATGCTGGGGAGCATTTCTACTAGAAAATGCATGGCTAAGTTGAGTTTTGCTGTGTGTGTGTGAAAGAGAGAGAAAGAGGGAAAACAAGCCATTTTTTAAAGACAATACTGAAACATTTTACTAACTCAGAGCATGAAGAAACAGTTATCTTGATAACATATATACAGAACAGATACAGACAACTTTCAGATACCTAAGACATTACATTGAGGTCACAACAGCTAATTTGTAACAATGCTTATTCTAGCACAGTAAGCTTGCCAAAAAGATGTATTCAGCAGCATTCATATGGTCTTTCTTGACAAAGGAGCAGGGCTGGGAGGGACCTAAGCCAACATATGGTACTAGAAACATAGACAGAGGAACTCCAAAGTGATTTAGCACATGATCTTTTATTTATTTATTTTAAACACAAGAATAGCATTCATAATTAATATTGCAGTCTGATTTAATATGGCTTTCTCTAAAGATAAATGTGAGTTCACAAGGTCAATGGCAAACTAAATCATTTACCCTCCAAATGTGGAGGCCCTTTGACTTTTTTTTAGTAACCAGTAAGGTCCTGGAGCTGTGAAGGAAAATGGCTGCAGTGTCTAGCCACCAACCTTTCTGTGTAAATAAAAACCAGTTAAAAAAACAAAAGACCTCATTTACCTGAGATTGAACAGACCAGTGATGCAAATAAAACAATGGCATGCAAAGACAAAGAGATATTCAGAATCCAAACAATGAACCATGCTTCTCTTTGGTCTTGTTTAAGTGCTTCAACACCTGCTTGAGTGCTGAGGGGGAAAGTGTCTGAGACAATGCTTCTCACATCCACACATGAGCCAAAGGTTTCTGTGTCCCATGTTGCCAGTTCAGAGTAGGAAGGGAAATGGATGGGCAGTAGGGATGGGAGAGTGCATGCTCTCGAGTCTGGCTTAGACACTTCAGGAACAGCTGAATGACTTGAGGAGAGGTCCAGAACTCATGCAAGGTGCCAAAATTTATGTGACGCAAAACCAACCAAAACCTGTCCAGTACCTGTAGTAGGTCTTCTGTCACATTTCTTTAATGAAAGAAATGGAAAATTAAAATAGGAACTACCAGCTCACACCTGGCTGAACTGTCTGCTGTCCAGGGAGAAAGGTCTGGGCTGGTGTGCAGAGCTGAGGTACAGAAGTGATAACATGGCTGGGCTGGGAAGCTCCCACAAAGAAAAAGACTCAGCAAACATTATTTAATAAACCACCTTCCCTTTCTCTCCTGCTCTGTGAGCCTGGCATGAGGGCTAACAAACTCAGCACAGAATTGTTCAGCATTCAGATCCAGATGTTCAGACAGCTCAGGAGCTCAGAAAATGAGCATTTTTAATGCTCTGAGCCCAGGGATAGCACTGGGCTTATGAAATTTGAGCACAGGCCCAGCAAGATCCTGACTTAAAACATTCGATGGCTCAGATGTTGAGACACAGTTAGAAAAGTAATACCAAACACTCTTCCCTTCTCTCTCCTCTTCCTTTCTTCTCCCTTTTCCTCATCTTCCACACATACATGCACACATGTGCACATCAAGCTGCCAGGGAGAGTGTGAAAATGAACTAACAAACAATTGGCAGTACCATTCTGCAAGGAGGACACCAGGCAGAAAACTCTATGTCAGGAACAGTATTTAGCTGGATTAGGAAGTGAGTCCACGATGGGGGTTAGGGAAAGGTCAACAAGCAAGTGGTAGAGAAAGGCCAGAGCAAAGAGGAATAAGCTCATCCTCTTTATTTGTTTGTTTGTTTGCAGACTTCTCCAGCACAAGGCCAGGGGAAAATATGGATGGATGTTTTCCTTTTAGCAGGGGCACATTTCTGCTGGTTCTACTTATGTGTTAGAAGATGCAGGCCACAGAGATTAGTCAGAGCATTTCAAAAGTATTGATGTTGGTTTGTCATTGAGATCTGAGCTAGAAGATTTCACTACCAGTGAGTGGCTGAAAGAAAGAGACAGCCTCTGCCTTTTAGCTTTCAGGGGTATTGGATTTAGTTCCCTCTGTGGCAGAGCATCAAAACCAGGTGCTACCTTTGTGACAGAAGGAGAGTTTTCAGTTCTTTGACTTTTACTTAAATAGGCTCAAATTGCTGAATTTGCATGGGGTGAGCAGGACACTCTTCCTTGAAAATGACAAATTGCTCAACACTGCTATGCTATACCCAAGCATTGATTCAGAGAGTATTCTGGGTCATTAAAGTCTTAGGGGAGAGACACTCATCTTACTTTAAATGAAAGTTAGGGAAAAAAAAGCACTGTCGTTATCCAAAAGAGTAAAACCTGCCTTTTCTTTCCTCGGGGAAGCCCTTGGCGGCTGGTACTTGAATTAGCATGTCTTGTTTGTAGATCAAGCCTGAAATAAGTTGCATCTTTATCAACTGGTTCTGGCTTGTAGATCAGTCAAACTTCCTCAGTCTCCACCTTGGATTTGATAGAAACTTATGGTTGAAGTTATTTGTGAAGCAAGAACTAGCATACCTGATTAAGAATTGGGTGAGGAGGGAAAAATAAATACATTTTTTCTCTTTCATAGTATTTTTCCCCTATTATAAGAGATGCTGCTAAAAGGCACAGAGTTCACAAGCTCACTGCCTTAACCATGGCACAGATTTCTTCTGCTTACCTGAAAAGATGATAAATATCTTTTAAAACTTCTTATTCAGAAAAGTACTGAGTTATTTGCCTAAACTCAGTTCCACTGAAGAAGTGCGTCAAAGAAGTTCCATTGAAGTAAAATGCTTAATTTAGGTACATAATGAAGTGTCTCAGATTGCTTTCCTTTTAGTTGTTGGTAAAAAGTGCATATTAGCTTCCAAATCTCTTCCATGCACATAGGGAACTTCTGTTGTTCCTGTGACAGGGAGAAGCAATGATAGTTCTGCCAGGCAAACCCTGATTCTCTTACAAGATTGTGAGACTGAGATGGCATGATGCTCTCACAGCAGCGACTACAGAGATCTAGACAAATGCAAAACCTTCAGGATCAGCTCTTCAAATGACAAGCCAGATACCTGATCATAAAGGTCTGTATTCAAAATAAGTCTGAGTATGTGAGCCTGTGTATGTAGTAGTAAGTCAACATCTCCAGTAGAATTTGGCTTATCTTACACAGCTACTCAACACCTACAGTGCTGTATTGAGAAGCCCTCTGTATCTGTGTCTGGAAAAGCCAACAAACATAATGGTGATAGAGATTTCCTCCCACCCTACTAACATCAAGGGATGATATAATATTAATTAGCTCCTGCACAGCACTGGAGAAGCATCCTCACCTTATGCCTCTATAGCAGGTAGAAACTGAAACCGACATTTTACATCTGGACAAGCTGGGTGGGGCAGAATAATTTAACATGATACATAACAGGCATACTCAGGATTTCTGGATCTCCAGGACCATGGCTAACATTCAGGCCACAACACTCTCCCACACACTGCAGGAATGGGTGGGCAGGACACAGCCACAACAACATACTGGAAACCAAATATCCAACCCACAAGCATTGCTGGGAACGGGACAGCTGAATGTGGCACTGCACAGAAAGAGGAAGATTCGTTAATCAGAGCAGCCTATATACTTGGTCATTGGCTTCAAAGGGGTTGGGGAGGTCCTCTGCCAGAGCACCATGCACTCTCCTGCGGTTTCAGACCTCTGTATGGCAACTGCCTGACAAAATCTACTCTTTCAAGTTAAGTGTATGGCTAATTCCCAAAGTAACATGACTCTTGCTTAGATTCTGAGGCATTTAACTTCTACTAGCATCTGAGGGCAGATGACTCACTTCTACAGTTCTGAGTGATGTCAGCTGTGTAAATCTTGCATGATTTACCTTCCAAATGATCTCTTACTTATACCAGTGATGGGATTAAAACAGAAAAGCTCTGCTTCCATGGGAGAACTGAGATATCCCTTCTAATGACAGATGGGCACAACAACAAATGGCTAGTGTGAGTCAATCAACAAGAACATTAATAATCATGACCAATAATTATTATCAATAATAATAAAAAGACAACTAAAAAAAATTAAAGACGCCACTGTTCACTGCTTCCTGCTTTGGATGGAAATGCATGTGAGGTTGTTCCTTTTCTATGCTTAATGTACAGTTGCCTTATTTAACATACATAGTACTATGGCTTATAATAAAAGTTGTGTAGTCTGCAGCTTTTTAATCTTTACATCCATTCAGAGGCATCTACTGGATGTGACTATGTACAAAAAAGGAATGGATGAGGCTGGGGGCTCCTAGTGAGCAGTAGAGGGCAGAGGTGGGGCAGGCTGCGTAATGGATGGCAAGATTGTAAATCCCCGTTGGGCAAAAGAGAAATCCTTTGCAGTACTGTTTATGCCCATGTAACAGTCTGCAGCTATTACTTCTTGAACATGTCCTGCAGGGGCCCTGGTAGGTATTTGATGACTGTGTCTAAAATGCTCTCTTCTTCCTCCTCCTCTTCATCCCCACAGCCAGGAGGAATTGCCTTCTTTGGGCGTGTCAGACTCCCTTCAGCATTAGCTTCCAGTGCTGCCTGGGCCTCCGCTTCCTTTTCTTCCTTCTTCTTTATCCCATACTGCAGGGGAGAGACAACACATTGTCATTCACCCACTGAACACCACAATCATGTTCTACAATATGAACATCACTCTTAATATTTGGCTTTTGCTCTTTTACACAGATACCCAAATTATCAATCCTAACAACTCCCACCAAAGCACAGCCTAGGGTACTAGGCTTGTCTTGTGAGACAGCTCTCACAAGACAAGATGGTCAGATGTTCAGATCACTCAGAAACAAGCACAGAGAGAATTTGAAACTATACAGCCATGGGCCTAGCAAAGACAATACAAGCTCTGTGTTAGTAAAGTTTAAATTCTACTGGTGTTGATCTTCCTCTTTTCTGTTCACAAGTCTGATGCTCAAATCCATCATCTGCAGTGATTTTTAAATTCCATCTGCAGCATCTTATAGTAAAGGTTTACGGATATGGCAAAACTTCAGGAAGAAAATAATTATCAACGGAAGAAAGCAAGCAGAACAGGACTAACAGGCAGGATGCAGTGAAAATGGCACAGTTTGAGATATTCTCATGCAGGACATATCCTACACAACCTCATCCCTGTTCTCTTGGTATAAGTAAGTGGGACAGTAAGACCTCTTACTGAAAAGAAACTGGTATGAGAAACTCCGTATTTGCACACTGAACTCTGTAATTCTGGAAGTAAAGCTGACTCATACTGTCTGAAGAGAAACACACTTAAGCCTGCAAGTAGAATGAATACCTGAAATTTGCTACTCCTGTTGAGAATTAAAGGCACACCACTAAGACTTTACAGGAGTAACAAGAATCTCATTTTATGATTTTATATTCAAAATGCTAGATTTTGTAGAGAAGTAAAGATATGCCTGAGTGAATCACACTAGGGAGAGAAGTTCTGTAGTATCTCAGCTCCCATAGTGACTAGGACTTTCTTTCCAACTGCTAGTCTGAAGGTATGTCCAAGGAAAACAATTTTTGCACCACCAACCCTCAGCACTCCTCAGCCACCATACATTTCAGTAGTTCTCATTTTGCTGCTATTTCCATAAGTGTTTGTACAGAAATTTTTGAGATTATAGAGATGCACGATTTAAAAAAAATTAACTACTCAAACTGTCACATGCAAATTTACCGCAACAAGGATACCTGGAAGTTACCCTCTTTATTACTTACAATAATTTCACTTCAGCTACGTTAGGGAGGCATTTGACCTTTGTGAGGAAGAAGAAAGGCATTCAGATTTGCTGTAACAGCTATGAGTTTCAAAATTAAAGCCATTTCTTTATTTATGCCTAGATTTTAAAGTACCAAGTGGAATTAAGATTGCCCTCAATACATCAGAACCATAAAGTAACTAACCTAAACCCATGCAAAGGCCAGTAAAACATTTTGCATGAATAAGCTTGAAAAAAACCTTTGAAAAGAAAATTAGATCTGATTTCAAAAACATCAAAGAATTATGTTGGCACAAAGTACTCAGTATTTTCTAGTACCAATAGTATGGTACTCCTGAACAGACATGAAGTAGACACTCTTCTCATGATCTTCTCTTTTCATTTTTTTCTATTAAGAATAGATCAAATTGTTTACCAGAAAAGCAAAAAAAATGCATTGCTGCTGTCATGACTTTCTGATTTCAAAGGGCTCTTGGGTTTGACAAGAAACTCCCAAACATTTCTGAGCAAAGGCAATATTTTTGCTTCCTTTCTCCGTCATTAAGATTTAGGATAAGAGCCTTCAAGGTTGAAACAAGTAACTTCAAAAACCCTTAGTTCTCTAAATCAATTCTTCCAAGCCAAAATGTTCATTAAGGACATTTGTCTTATGATTTTTATACCTAGTGGATGTCAGTCACACCAGATTTCATGGGAGAGAAGTTTAAGGCAAATGATGTCTCCATTCACATCTAAGGCAAAGGAAGCATTTGATCAACTTGTAGTTACAGGGCTGAACACCAAAAAGAAGATCCAACATAGGACCAGCAACCAATGCAGAGGGAATGACATATACTGCTAAGCTGTGGACAGTCTCTATAGCTGTCTGGTACCCACTCTCCCTTTCAAGTCACAGGTAGATGTCTCTAGGTGATTCCCAGTGTAATTAATCTACAGACTATCTTCCTTTGACAACTAGAGGAGAAGAGTAGTAGTGGAGACAACACAAGTCATAGGACCACACAGGTCCCCTGCATGCTTTCAAATCCTCCATCTCAAAACAAGTATCGTCTCATGCCAGGTTGATCCTCTAGCTCATGAACTTGTTGAATAAACACCTAGGCCACAGAAAACTGGAACAAAACCAACTGCTCAAGCACTACTGTGTGTTAGGACAGAGGGAAGCTCAAAGTTTATATGACGGAATTAGCACTGTACTTGTCAGCCTGTGCTGACATGTTTCCTTAGAAAGCCTCTACTGATTGCCCTCAGAGAATTGCAGTGCTAAGACAGACCTTAGCTCTTACAAGATATGGCCAGTCTTATGTGGCAGCTGCAGAATGGGGCAATACATGGCCTGGAAAGAGATCTTTCACTGTAAAAGGACATTAAGGAAAACCAGATTCTATTGTTCCAGCTTACTGGCACAAATGCCATGTACAGAACTTCATCTGCTTGGCCTTGACTCATGCCACCATATAGTTAATAATGTAGGATTATGGACTAAACCCAGCAAGATACTGAAACATTTTAGATATGTGAATCACCCTGCTGCTCCTGAAGTCATTACTATGCTGTCACATGAGGATTGTCTTCACTGGGTCGTATGTTGGCGAAATACTGGTGGGCTGGAGTCCTCAGTCATTAGGTGGAGAGTAGGGAAAAAATATCATGACCCTTGATTTACTCCACCCTGACTGACTGCATGTCAGGAAAATACCACACTAACAATGCTGCCATCAACTTCCTCCCCATCTCTTTGCTTTCCCTAGTCCTTCTGCTTTCCACAAGAAGTCAAAGTAAGTGCATGAGCCAGAGACATGCTGCAAATTCTATCTAGCTCTAATGACAGTATGGGTGTCAAGGAATAGGGGCGACTGTTGAGCCAATGTGGGCTTGCAGCTAAAAAGTCAACCTACCACAAATATGGTTACCATTTCTTATGACAAGCTAACCATTGCTTACTAAAAATGAACATATCTATCTAGCAAATACCTGGGCCACAGAATGAGTAAGGCAGTAATATCACAGTTAAGACACTTGCAGAAGTTATTGCTTATCTCTGGGTCAGTTGTGGAACTGACTCCCCAGGAAGACAGCTGCAATCAAGGTGCGAGTGATTATCTTTGGATCAGATTTGGAACTGACTCTTTAGGAACAACAACTGATTCACCTGGAGAAGCTAAAGAAATGCAGAATAAGTTTTGGGGGGATAAAGACAACACTAAGACTGCATCGTGGGACCATCAGAAGATTATCAGTGCAGAGGATCCTGGAGTCTGAGAATAAACTGCTGCCAAGATGAACATCTTTCCCATTGGCATGCCAGGCAGGATGGCCCTAGGACTCCCATACTCTGGATGGGGATTCAAAAGACAAACAGAGTGGTTTTGCTGACCTTAGCAGGTTAGGTTAACCATAACACAATAACCATAACATTATGCTATTTACCATAATTGTATGCTGCTAAGATTATTATAGTTACACAATTGTGTCTGCTATTGCCATGGTGGAATGATCATATTTTACAGTCTCTATAAACTATTAAAAATCACTAGGTATATACTTTGTATAGTCACAGCTTCTTTCATCACTGGGTATTTTCACTGCATGCTTTTCTTCCCTCCTAACACCTAGATAAGCAGGGAATGAGGACTAGTGTTCTTGGTACTACATACCTATCCTGCAGCCCAGATTTGCAGTGTCAGCTGGAAATGTAAAGAAGATAAATAAAGGCATGTTTCAGTCCTTGCAGCAGAGAAAGGAACCATGTTCCCCGTGCTAGCTTGGCATGTTTACATGCTAGCTGACTGTGCCTGTGAAGCCTACAGCGGGCAGTGGGATGCAAGTAAATGTTGTAATGTCTTGCCAAGATAAATCCATGCAGGTCTGGATAGCAGGGATTTTGTAATGGAACAGCATGTCCTAAATGTAACTGTCTGGCCAGCACTTTCCATGGCTGGTAGCAGCTGTCAACCAAGTCTCCTCCAATGTGGCTGCATCTGGGTGATTGACACCTGGAGATATGCATATAGGCACCCCTCAACACAGCTATGCACCACCTATGATCCTAGGGATTGTTCCTGGCTGGTTGTTTTCACTGTGAACAACTGGTAACATTGCTCTTCTCTCACTCAGGAAACACGTCTTCCTCCCAGGGTGCTCCGAGACCCTGAAATTGGTTTTCAGTCCGCATCCCAGAAAATAATACTGGATATCCACTAACACAGAGTTTTAGTTTCTGGAAAAAAGGTTGGCATATAAATGATACAGGTTACATTTCTCTTCAGGGAATTTTTCTCCTCCGTGGTTTTGGGTAGCTGCAGGTAGTACTGAACCTATGTCTGAACAGGTGTGGCATCTCTGGAATTATTATTTTATTTACCAGCTGAGCTTTTAAAAGCTAGCAAGAGATGTCAGTGCCTGTTCCTTATCTTGCTCCATATACCAATTAAAGGAGACCTTGTCTCTTCTTACACAGCCCTGCCTATTAAACTTCATTCACATTCCAACCTACAACACAATAAAAAAGAACAAAATTATCAGCCAGACTTGAAAGTGTATGGTTAGAGAAGACACAGAGGGGGCAACTTGCCCACCCTTCCACCTCTAGGGTTAACTTAACCTGAACCAGTCTTTTTCTTAGAGACCTCAGCTGGTGAAGTATTCTCACCTGCTGTGGAACTCAACTACAATTAAATAAAAAAAATTACAATTAAAATATTTCTCCTCATGTTTCACCTGATTATTTCTGAAATGCTTTTTTAAAAGGAATCTGGAAAACCGATAAGACACAGCTGGTGCAAAAAAATTTATCTTTCATCTGTCATTTTGGGTTTTGTTTTTTTTTTCAGGTGGGTTTTTTTGTGTGTGTGTGTA